ATTGTTTTTAGAGCTCCGGAGGGGCAACAAAACCTTCCGATAATTATTGTTTTTAGAGCCTCGGAGGGGCAACAAAACCTTGCCGACTATAATTGTTTTTCGAGCTCCGGAGGGGCAACAAAACCTTCCGATAATTATTGTTTTTAGAGCTCCGGAGGGGCAACAAAACCTTCCGATAATTAATGTTTTTAGAGCCTCGGAGGGGCAACAAAACCTTGCCGACTATCATTGTTTTTAGAGCTCCGGAGGGGCAACAAAACCTTCCGGTAATTATTGTTTTTAGAGCTCCGGAGGGGCAACAAAACCTTGCCGATAAATATTGTTTTTAGAGCTCCGGAGGGGCAACAAAACCTTGCCGACTATTATTGTTTTTAGAGCTTCGGAGGGGCAACAAAACCTTGCCGACTATCATTGTTTTTAGAGCTCCGGAGGGGCAACAAAACCTTCCGGTAATTATTGTTTTTAGAGCTCCGGAGGGGCAACAAAACCTTGCCGACTATCATTGTTTTTAGAGCTCCGGAGGGGCAACAAAACCTTGCCGACTATCATTGTTTTTAGAGCTCCGGAGGGGCAACAAAACCTTGCCGACTATCATTGTTTTTAGAGCTCCGTATGGGCAACAAAACCTTTTTGAACATTACAAGTCGGGTTGGCTTACGATGACTATAATGTCGGCAAAACTTTTGTGGATTAAAATATTGTGGCCGTAAACGGTTTGATTTTGAAAAGGGCATTCCGGCCAGTGAGAGGGGCATGGCGGCAAATTGCCGATTGCCGGTGGGTAATTCGAGCCCTGTTCTTTATGAGGCTTTTTGAGGCTAAGATAAAAGAAGCTCAAACACTTAAATCATTAGGTATACCTAAATTTGTTTATTTATTTAGTAATTTGCCAGAGCTACCAGATATTTTTTTTGTTACATTGCAAAAGATGTGCTTTAATTTTTTATGGAGTGGAAAAACAGATAGGATCAAAAGACATATTATGTTTGATACATATGAAGATGGGGGGTTGCAAATGACCCATCTTAAGAGCTTTTGTAGTGCACTCAAAGTTGCATGGGTAAAGAGAGTTTTGGATAAACAAAACAAGGGTATTTGGAAAACCTTTTTTCAATGCCAAATGAAACATTATGGGGAAGAAATTGCTTTTAGTTGTAACTTTCAGGCAGGAGATATACATTACTTTTCAATAAATCAATTCTGGTTGGATGTCTTAACGTCTTACTTACCGAAATCAATAATACCCATGAATATGCATTTGCTATTAATGTATGAAAGGTATTCAGAACTCTGGATTTCATGTGCACAAGTCCCCTAAGTCAAGAGGTTTGTTGCTGTGGTTCAGTTTGGTAAATTGGCTGTTAAAATATTTTATGACATATTTTCTCCTATCAGTCAAACTTGGAAAAGGTTGGATATTGATTATTGATTTTAAACTAGATGAAACTTCGACTGCGTGCAGTCGAAAATGATGCCTCCGCCATAGAACGATTTCACAAACCAAAACTGAACCAATTTGTAATCCATTTATAACAGGTTCTCAGAATATCGTAATTACAAGCTATTTTTCATATACATGTATGACCTTCTTATCTTTGACCTCATGACCCTAAAATCTAATCAGTTCATTGGCTTTGCGAGATATATATATGTCTTGAGTTTGATGGTAATCCGTCCGTCGGTTCTTGACATAAGTGATCACAAGCTATTTTTTGCATACCGTGAATGAGCACTGTGACCTTTGACCTCGTGACCCAAAAATTTAATCAATTCATTAGCTCTGCAAGATACATACATGACTTAAGTTTGGCAGGAATCCATTGATCGGTTCTTGAGATAACGCGATCATGAGAACGGGACGTAATGTACGGACGGACAACCTGAAAACATAATGCCTCCGGATACTTCGTAACGGAGGCATAAAAATGTAAATCTCATACGCATATGGGAATACTGTTCTTACTATTGTATTTGGACGTACAATATAATTATTTGGTGTGATTTAGTAGAATCTAGTACACACTGCTGAATTGTATACTTTTCACCTTTAATATCAAGCCCTATCCCACACACTGCTATCCAGTTGAATACAATCATTTATTTTTGACATTCATACAGATTGAAATACATGTACCTCCAATATGAGATCCAACAAAATTAAGTCCTGGTTGAATATGTAAACTAACTCATTGTTTTAATATCGATCAAAACCATACTCCACGGTTTTTCAAGATGGCGGCACAGCCCCCCAAAAGGGGCATGTCAAGGGGGCGGGTGGGTAGCATGAAATTGAGAAAGAAGGAGAGAGACATAGAGAGGGGGAATGAGAGAGGGGAATGAGAGAGGGGAGAGGGGTGAGTGAGGGGCAGGGTGAAAAGAGGCAAAGAAAGGCTACATACTGTAGGGTTAATAGAAGCAGAAAAATAATAAAAACAGGTCAGTGAAAGTTTGAGCAAAAACAGATATGTCCCATTCGCAGGCCAAAAAAGGAAAAGGTTAAATTCCAACGGCATTTGAAAGATTATACTAATTTAGAACTTCCCTAAAAAAAGGGGGGGGGGGGGCTTGAAAATATCTTTAAGTGGGAAAATAATGACTATTAGTTGTCAAATCGACTTAAGAGCTATAGAGCCAGTAAGTAATATCTGATTTTCAGACCATTGTACCGAAGGGTCGTACGTTTTATGCTGCGCAAAGATTTAATCAGTTTAAATTTGGCCATTACAAGAAGTGGGTTATTGATGTAGACAAATGCTCATGTACCATTTACAGCTCATTTCATGTATGTTATAACCAAAGAAGAAAAAAGCCAGTCAGTCACTCAATAGTGTCTGACAGTAAAGTCTAGCAAGTAAACGGGGTTTCCTTGCATAATTTGAATATTAGGACACTGCTAACGTTTAAATTTCACAGATAGGACATACATGACATATTCATAATTCCTGCAAAGTTCTACAGAATTTGATGTTGGCTGCAAAAGGGACATAGTATCTTTAAAAGAAGTCAACGCAAAGCCTACCATCCCCTTGCCGGGTACAAATGGCATATATTTAGCAATTTTTGCATATTTAATGAGCTGTGTCCTTCGACCTTTGACTTACAAACTTAACAACGTTACTTAGGTTATTGAATGAAAACCACATTTTTGCATATATAATTAGGTATTTTCGCATATTTAATGAGCTTTGACCTTTGACCTACATATTCCGAAATCGAAGTTTGGCTGTGTTTTGATACAATGTACCTTCATATCAAAATTCAATAAAACCTGTCAAACATTACCAAAGTTATCGAACGGAAACCAGATTTGATACTAAAAGATGGACGGAAGGACAGACGGCAGCGTTACTACATCCTTATATTACTAGGCAAGGAAGTTATAAACCACATTTTCACATATATAACTAGGTTTTTTGCACATTTAATGAGCTATGACCTCTCACCTCTGACCTACATACTCCAAAAATAAACTTAGGCTGTGTTTTGATACCATGAACCTACATATCAAATTTCATTAAAATCCGTCAAACATTACTTAAGTTATCGATTGGAAACCAGATTGGCATATTTAATGAGCTATGACCTTTGACCTACATACCCGGAAATTGAACTGAGGCTGTGTTTTGATACCATGTACCTTCATATCAAATTTGATTAAAATCTGTCAAACCTTACTAAAGTTATCGAACAGAAACCAGATTCGCACATTTAATGAGCTATGACCTTTGACCTACATACTCCGAAATCAAACTTAGGCTGTGTCTTGATACCATGTACCTTCATATCAAATTTCATGAAAATCCGTCAAACATTACTAAAGTTATCGATCGGAAACCAGATTTGTATTTTTTCGCATATTTAATGAGCTATGACCTTTGACCTTTGACCTAAATACTCCGTAATCGAAATTAGCCTGTATTTTGATATCATGTACCATCATATCAAATTTCATTAAAATCCGTCAAACATTACTGAAGTTATCGATTGGAAACCAAATTTGTTACGAACGGACGGAAGGAAGCACGGACGGACAGCAGCGTTACTATATCGCCTCCGACTTCTGGGATCTTTAATCAGATATTGCTCATACTTTCACTTATTTGTTTCTCTTATTTTTCTGCTTTTATTAAAACCAACAAAGTATCAGGGTGGACTTCCCCTTTAAGTATGTTGTGATCTTCCTACATGTGAGTTTCTTTTAGAGCATTCAAGTTGTATAAGCATACAACTGTTGGTGCTCCCCACCAACCTTCTAGGTTTCCATGGTTAGTATACACTTAAAGGGACTTGGTAACATTGTTCAGATGAGAAATAGTGGTGCTAAGGTAGTGACTTCAATGCTAGATGTACAATTAAAGATAATCTGAAAATCTGAGTGAAAACGGACCATTATTCATGGTACAAATTGTGAAAAACTGATCTGATCGATTCCTTAATTCTCCCAACTATATTATTACAATTTCATTACATTTTAGGTGAATGTAAATCGTCACAAAGCAATAAAATGGCTCTACATTCCATTCAAGACATTTCTGTTTTCTTATATATATATACAGGATTTTTATAGCCTGTTTTATGTCTTTTTTTCATGGAAAAACAGTTGGGGAAATTCAAAAATGGTTGGGAGAATTTACTGTTAATCGCTGTTAGAGGGTGTCGGACATTGACGCCTTCAAAGAAAACCATAGATATCTTCGTGGTTTGAGAATTGTTTCAGGATTATTTGTATGGCAGAGGGTTAGTACAGAAGAAGGAATATAGTAAGTAACATTTTATACAAAAATCAAAAATTAAGCAATTTTTTCATCAACCTTCAACAATGTTACCGAGTCACTTCAAGGTCTTTTGTTAACACTGCTGCTGCCTTAGTAAAAAGACCATTGATATATCCTTCTGTCAAAAAAAACAGCATATATGAGACATTTAAAGGAATTAAAGAAAAGTAATATGTAGATTAGAAAAGGTAAGAGATGGTAATGGAATGAAAAGAAATTATACACTCACACATCCATGTACATCACAATTGTAGATGAACTACTCACCGTTGATTCTTTTCCTTTCCTTGCAAGTGTTGCAAAAAAACAATGATGGAATGCACCTTTAAGATAAACAATCTTCAAGGATGGCAAAAAGCATATCATCTCTGCCAGATCAAGTGACGTAGTAGGTCCACAATCTCTCTCAATCTCGAGTTTAACCTGGATAAAATGACAAAGTGGTTACTGATGTGATATAGAATATAGACGTTCACTTGGATGTTAGGGATATAAATGTATAAGCTAAATGAGCGGTTGCCCTAGATGTACTAATAATAATAAATAATAATGTTCAATTCTTATATAGCGCATATTACAAAATTGTCTCTATGCGCTTAGATACGAGAGAGAGAGAGAAGAGAGAAAAGACATGAAGAATATTGAGCTTTCACCGTTTAGCAATTACAATTATCAAATCAATTACAAAATTCACATGTTTACTACATAAATTTAAATTTAAGACTGGCATGATCGAAACAGATATGTTTTTAAGTCGGATTTAAACTGATGTAGTGAAGGACAACATTTTAGAGACTCTGGAAGATTGTTCCATAGTTTTGGTATGGCATACTGGAAAGCACGGTGCCCATATGTTTTGGTGGATGTGACTAAAGGTGTGAATGTATGTTTTGAAGATGAACGGAGGTTGCGAGTTGGTAGATGACTTGAAATAATATTTTGCAAATACATGGGAGTATCATTGTGTTTACATTTATATGCAATTGTTAAGAGTTTAAAGCTGATTCTATCTCTTACAGGTAACCAATGTAAATCATATAACACGGGAGTAATGTGATCTCGTTTACGTTTACGTGAGACAATTCTAGCTGCACAATTTTGAACTCTTTGGACCTTGTCTATGATATTATGAGGTCACAGGCCGAAGAACTATTGCCACAACATTTCATACCCAATTCTTATTTTTGCAACAGTAGAAAAAACTCATCATAGTTTACCAATTACTAAACAGAGAATCCGTAAACAAACTAAAAGGAGAGTATAGGTCTAGGAACAGACTGCAAAAGAGAATACTTCCATTTGTTTTTCTTGCATGTTCACACCATCTGGTGACTCATACCTTAATCATTTACAAGAAAGAAGTAACATTTTGATACCCCTTGAGCAAGTATATATTCAGTCTCACCAAGGGAGAGTGAAGATGAACTGATCTACAGTAACCATAGTCCTCAAATCAATCTCAAGTTATAGAGCTACATTGCCTATCACATGTATGTTAAGAGATGCGATTGCCCTAGTTGCAACTATCAGATAGATTCCTTTGTACATTGTTAAACATTTATAAACCATGAATTTGGATTTTAAATAGGCAAGAGATATTTTTTAGGAAGGGAAAAAAATGTGCAAACTATTGGTGAAGTCCCCTTTCCCCTAATTCTATCTCATCTACAGGGTAGATACACTGACAATATTACATGCACGTGCCAGTACATAGGTTGTATTGAGGTCCTCGCCAATGCTTTGTACATTTGCTCGTTCTGAATTCTGTTTCTTAATTCTTCTGCTCCCAAATCACTTTTTTTTTTGCACGCAGTGTTTGTTATTCCTAATTAGATCCCTTTCTCTATCCAGACTACTTTTGCATTTTGTATCCACATTCTTTACCATCACATGATTCCACTGTTGTACTGTAAGAAAAATGCAAACAAAGTAAAAAGAAGAACTTGTACAAAAATGGATGAACTGATTTTGTTTATTGCACTAGCTATGATCAAACTTACCACATGTGGTCCAATGAATGCATAACCTGCTACAGTGTGTGCTGTCATGTCTTCATGTACGTGTATACTCGGCCTAATCTCCTCTGATAGAACCCTGTCCTTCACCAAGGTTGCTACATCTGCGTCCTGACTCTCAAAGGCTACATCAACAATGAAACCCAACTGTATCTGTGCAGCCCATCTGTTCATATGTGGTCCCTGAGGCATGAAAGGTAACTTTTCATCTATGTACCCAAAATTCATTCTAAGTCCCTGAAGCATAGAGTCCATTACATGGGTTGCAATACTTTTGTTGTGTGACACAGTCAAGTACAGGAGATACCTAAACTCCTCCTTCCTTGGCAGCACTACTTGCTCAATCAGCCTGTTGAATTCATTACAATCTGATTCATACAGGGAAGCAAGATGGACTCCAGCCATGTACTCCTGAAACAGTTTGTGAGGGAAGAAGACTCGCAATTGCACATGAGAATTCCTCTCATGTGTATCCATGTCAGCATTAATTCTGTCCTCCTGAGACAAAATCCCGACCCGGCAGGCAGTGTCCTTGGATTCTATTTCTTGGCACGTTTGGAAATCATCTTCACCGAAAGTCAAGGTATTTTCTAGCAGACCATTTAAGGCTTGTTTGGCAATCGGTCCAAGGAGCTCATCAATTTTTTTCAAATAGGCAATAAGTGAGCGGCTGCCTACTTTCTTCACCTCTTTCTGAGCATAATGTTCTTTTAGAAAGGCAATCATTGCTTTGAATATCTGAGAAAAAGTTTTCAGTGATTTCATTTCCTTTAGTTTTTGTTCGTCACGTTCTTTCCACATAAGACACAACATCGCTACATATATAGGATAGTGGGCCATGTTTTCAGATATGACATCATTATCACTGAAGAATTGGATAAGCTGATTTGCTTTATCATCATTCTTTGGAAAGTATTTGTGAATGTAAACTGACAAATTCTCTCTGTTGAAACCCTCAACATGAATGAATGTGTAGAGCTTCATTAGATCACCATCTGATCTAATCTCTACTGCTCTCCATGGGCGAGTGGTCACCAAGACTGGGCAAGAGGCAAGTTGATCTGAACAAAGAATATCTACAAGTCCAATATCAACAGTCTCAGATGAGCTTCCGCATGCCCCAGAGGAGGTGACACTTGGCTCTGATTCGCAAGATTTTGTCTTCATGATTAGGCCACTGACTTCGTCTAGCCCATCAAATGCGATGAATACCTTGTCAGGATTTGACTGGATATAATCAGTCATCTGAGAAACCGTTGCTGGATTGTTTTTGGCCAGATAAGACTTTGCAATCTCGCCAATAGTGTGCTTCTTAAATTCACGTAGAGGAACAATCAAGACCCACACAAAGTGACTGAAATACCTCCCTTCAATCCAGTCCCAGGCAATCTTAGCACAAAATGTAGTTTTTCCAACTCCTGCCTCCCCCTGAACCATGATCCGCTTGGGGAACTCTCCATTGACTTTGAGATCAAGGATATCATTGTAATCTAGCATTCGCTTCTCTGTCCCATGCTCTTCTTGTAAGAAGAGATTAGTATACATGTCTTTAAACTGCACAATGGAAGCTGGATTGAGAGGATCAGCTCTGATCTTACAAACAGTTGACCTGTACTTGAACTTGAAATCATTTGCACACTGCTCAACCAGTTCAGTAGAAAGTGGTTTGGTCTGAGATTCAGCTGAAGGAGGTTTGGTCTGTGATTCTGTCAGTCTCGATGGCCCTCCTAAAAATACATAGATAATCCATATTCACATGATAACACATACAAATATTTGATACATCTGAAAGGATTGTAAAGGCCTTAGGCTAATAGTACGACTACGACTAGATGCAACTGGTACTTAAAGACACAAAGTCATACATGTTTGTCTGAATTTATATGACTTCATTCAATTTTAAGGGCATTTAAAATCTGTGAGTAATTTGTGTATATACATGTATTTGTAGATGAATATCACCTGAATAATTTTTCCTAAGACATTTCAGCAATGCAGAGTTTCCCCCAGCATCACACATCTTATTTTGAAGAAAAAAATCAAGACAAATATGACTGCATCTCTAGTATGCCTCTGCCTAAATTCAGTTAAGATCAGGGCATGGATCAATCTTTAAATATCATAATGAGAACAAAAATCCTATATATATATATATATATACACATGTATATGTATATATATAAATACATGTTGAGTGATCTTTACAACCTTTGACCTTTGACCTGACAATCCAACATCTGATGAATTGTCTCCCAATGGTGCAGCTATGTTATATATTACATTATGTGTTATTAATTTTGTTTGTAAACTTTTGTAATTCGGCTTAACGCCGCGATGAAAGTTTTATTTGAAATAAACCATTTTGAATTGAATTGAATACCATATGTATTTTTAAAATAAAAATTTCAACTAAAATAGCTCAAAGTAGTTATTGTTATGGTGATGAGCGTTTCATTTTGACCTTCTTAACTTGAGATATAATCAGTTTGTCTCAATATGGGGATTTATACCAACATCAAATTTGAATTCATGGCTCAAACCGTTCTTGAGACACATGGGGCTAACCCCCCCCCCCCAAAAAAAAAAAACTAATTTAATAGGATCGACCCTCATAGCCTTTGGCCTTTTACTCACTTATCCCAAAATCTAATAACTTCATCTCCAACCTTTGGTGATGCATGATAACACCAAGTTTGAAGTTCACAGCTCAAGTGGTTCTTGACATATCATGAGGCTAAAATCTGTCATTTCAACAATTTACCTCTATAAACAACTTAATCCCATATCTAATCAAGATTATCTTCCTATGGTGATACATACTACATTTGGTACCAACAAGTTTGAAGTTCATACCTCAAGTGGTTCTTGAGATATCGCTATAGCAAAAAAGCCGGACGGATGGTCAAACAACCCCAAAACATATTTTCTCCTGCACCACCTTCCTTTGGGGGATGCATAATTACAGTTATCATAATGGAATGATGCAAAAGAATATAATTTGTTTGTAGAACATGTGCACATAAAAAAAGCTGACACACATTAAATTCTGCTGTCACCCAAAGTACTTGTACTATATCGATGTCTAGAAAATATCTAGGATTAACAAAGTTAAATTAGTAAATTATAGAAACATACACGGGGGCCTGATAAAATTTGACACTTCTGTGAATTGTAGCAAATTTATAGAACACACAGCACACGCTTTATCTATGTTAAAAAAGGACTTCACTTTTATGCATGGTTTTCTACGATGTTTACCTGCGATGTTTGGAATTAGAGGCTCATTGAGTAATCTGTCTGATAGGCCACCCAAGTCAATCTCTCGAAGTTTGTCTGCCAAAAGCTGCCGTTTGTTTGAGTGTGGAGGTTGCTGCATGACATTCCATCTCATGAATATGTGCAAAAAGGCATTTGGATAGTTATTCCACTTCAGTATCAGGATGCTCTGTAGCTCAGAATAGGAGAAACCTAGAGATATCCCTACAGCCTCATAGTAAGATGGAAGGATATCCTTGGCCAGCCTCAGGAATTCCATGTCACTGACAGTACTGTAAAATGAATTATAAATCAATTGGGTACAATGGAATATTAGCTAGAGAACATCCTATTAGCTGAGAAGTTATCGAGTGACTCTCAACAATTTGTGTTACATACATGTAGGTGCTCGAGCATGCAATATAATAGCCTTGGGATATCAGAATATAATGCCTGTAATATTAATATTTGAAACATATTGCCCCAAGTTGCAGGTTAGGGCGGTACTGATCTGACAAGGATAATTATTCCAAAAAAGCAGAGTTTGGCATTAAATACAATCTGTGTCCAGTACATGTGACTTTTAGCAAGACTGGGCAAAATTATCATTTCGACAACTCCAAAACCTCACTTATGTGCTACATGATCAACCTTTCGAATCGCTTCCACATTGTTTCTTTCGCAATGCAATCGTGTAACTAGGTCCCTGTTTCCTAAAGCTTGTTATCAATCACAAACGCTAAATTTCTATGAAAAATTGCTCTCAACCAAATTCCACAATTTCAGTAGCTTATAAGGTTTATGAAACGGGGCCCAGGACTCAACTTCATTGTTAACTCCTGAAGGTGCTACTGGTGCATATGCATACCTTACTGCAGTGTTAGGACCTGGATTGGTTTCAACGTCACCAGATCTCATTAAGAGGATCAGCAGCAGATGGAGAAGGCAGAATCCATCCATGGTGTACGATGTCCTCCTCACTTGACAGAAATGAAGTCCTCTGGAAAATGGTGATATGACATTGGCAACAATACCTGAAAACAATATTCAGAAATATCTACATTATGTAAATAAAACAGATGGAATAAAGCTCCTTGAGAGTTTCAATTTCACTATATTTATAACAGCTAAAGGTTTGGAAGGCTTTTAACGCCATTAAGTTTTTTGCCCCTGCCTCCCGAACCCCGCTCTTGGGAGGAATGGCTGGCTAGCAGCCAAGAAGCTGTGCCTCGCAGGGTTCATATCCAAGAAATGCTGTATTTGGGCAGAGAAGATTATTTTGTGATTCTTTGTAATCGTCAATCTTCCTCGACGCGAAATGAGCGTTAACGTGCACAGCACTGTATCAGAGATCCTTGGAGAGGGCGAATAAGATAAATCCAGCAGTCTGGATATTAAAGGAAAGTGACCCCATTGACATACAAGACATGGATGGCGATGGCTTGCCAAGCACGCCATACTCTGTAACAAGGTGTGTTGATGGATGCTCCTTTTTTGCGTGTATCCTCTCTGGCAAGGTTAAATTTAAAAGTGATATAGCCTCTACTAGGAAGTTTACTACAAGAAACTTCCTATTGCAATACCTTTGTTACTGCTTTCCTCATATTAATAGCTGTATTTTGTTTCAAGTAGTGGTCTACATGCATTTCTAATAGCCTGATGATAAAGTTTAAGGTCACCGAGCAGATCATAGTTAATTATTTTCCAAGAAATGCAGCAAAAGACCCACAGGAGATAAGCATCTTTGCCAAGCCATAACTTAATAAAGCAATATTATATTCAAATCATCTTTCACACTGTATCAAAAGTTTTACATTGATGTATAGTTTGACTGTATTTGAAGAAAAAAAGACTTGTAATATACTACCGGTATATATAGTGCGTATGAAATAAAGTGTACCGGTACCCAACTATTAGAACATCATAAACCAATTTGACTTTGAAATCTATTTCATGATGAGGAGTAGGCCTAAGTTGTTTTCTGTCAGAAAAAATACCCTATTTACAATATTTCTGCCTTGGGTGACTGGACACCAGGGTCTTTAAAAAGTGTTGTCAAAATCATTTATTACATCCCAGACAAACTTTGTCCCTTTTGTATCACTAGATAAGAAAGATTACAAGTCAAGATTGTAACCATCATAAAGAAGAGAATATCATACATCTTTTTTGCTTGTAATAAGCAATTTTTTTTAGTTTGACTTGATATTAATACCTTTTCTTTTCAACTGCCTAATAGTCAATGTAAAGAAGTGAGCATATGTTTTTTGAATGAGATAACTCACACATAATGGCTTTTGAACCACATTCATTGGCTCAGCCCAAACTTGGTACAAGAGGATTTTGACAATACTTTTTTAAAAGCCTGGTGCTCGGTCATGCATTTCTTGTTTTCGACCATCCCTTTTATATATCTTAATTAAATCTTAAACAAGCCTTGGCCTTTACCTTTACCAGAGATTCCGGAAGAATGCTGTGTTCTCAGCAGTCAGGCTTCCACTTCAAGTTTGTGTATCTTCCTTCTCATAGTTGGATTTGATAAGTTCTTACCTAACAAGATAATAGGGATCATGCCTTATACTTTTTTTTATACTCTCTCACGTTCCATAGGGGTAGACTAATGGGTAATTTTCTGGGGACTAGTATTGTCCTATGGAGGTGGTGCAGTCCTTCGGGCTAATTTCCGGGAAGGAGGGGGGAGGGGGTTATAGTCCTTGGGGGTGGGGTAGTTTTACTGGGGGGGAGGTAATTGTCCTATAGCCCCTGTTATAATGTTGAAGGAAATGAGCTAGTCATCCACGGCAAATTGATGTCAAGAAACAAAATGACTGTAACCAAATAAAAGCACAACTATACACCGGTGTAAATACCTGGAGTAGGGAGGCCAATGCCCGGGCGTAAGGCTTCTACACCTACGATTTGTGCGCTCGTCGCCCACTTCAAAAAATTAGCAAAGGGAAAAAAATGATGTAAAAATAAAAATTGAAGAAAATATGAAAAGAAAATACAATTATACATTTCACAACATACCTATAATCACGGATCTGTAACAGTCTTTCACCATTTGTTGACAATCTTGCAGATTTTGACGTTTTTTAATCCAATAATTGTGGTTGCAGACGACCTTGACGCACTCGCACCACCGACTAAGAAAATCCTAGAGGGCGTAGAGGTTTGCTCACTAAAAACCTTCTCATTGGCAGAAGGTAGACCCTAAAAATATGGGATCCGTTTTGAGTAAAGAACTTTTGATAGAGATCAACATTTCAGATGTTCACAATTGCCACTTCTAACAACTAGAAAATATAAAGAAAAAAGATTATATCTTTTTAAATACAGATTTTTACAAACTGAACATTCGAAATTAGATAGAGTACGATGTTTCTGTCAATCTTGCGTTGGTTTGAGCCCTATAGCTACATCCATCTCAAAATGAGAAGGAAAACAGTGAACAGTGACGTCATTGTTCGCGCCAAAAATAAAGGGTATTGCGACATAATCTGAGCTCCGGTCAGATCGTGCGCAAAGCGTAGTCTTATTTATAGACCCTAGTACCTTATTCTCACAGCACTAGATACGAGTGTCGTGCAGTAATGTATGAGAAGTGTTAAAAAAGATATTTCAGTAAAAAAAAAAGTCTACGTGAGCAGTCTATACTCCAATTGAGAATTGAAATGAAAGCCATGATTTGAAGGTGTGTGTTGTATGATACATGGTTAGTGAGTGTGTATGTTACGTATAGCGAAAGGGAGAGAGAGAGAGAGAGAGAGTGAGAGAAATATTAGTACACGTACGTTGCATGCATGGATGTGCGCTATGATTGTGTTCGCTGCAAGATGGATTTTAATTGGACCTCGTAACTTCTCGATCGTTGATAATAAGGAATACTCATGAGGAAATCAAATTATTGGAATACACATCTAAGGTAAATATCAATGAATTATATATATTTCTTTCCTTTTTTGAACCATCGTCTTCGGCTCGTAGTAGTAGAAGATGTAATCGTTCGCACATTGATGGCTGGACTTCAGCCTGCATCGGGGCTTGCCTGTGTCGGTGGAGGGATCAACTAAGAAGAAGAAGGTGTGTACGTGTGCGACCGATTCAAGGCTAGCCGCTGTTGAGTGATTGCACTTTCGCGCGAAGTTTTAAACTTCATCATGAACTTTGTCCCTCGGGCCTGTCTAATTATGAACGTAACTTTGCGACATGAAATATAATTGTTTCAAGGCTCTTACGTACGGAAAGGCGTAGAAGGAAATGGCTACAAACCAGCTGGATATCTCCTATTTGATGGAACCTATGGAGTCGGCAGATGGGTGGATTTTCTTAGTGAAAGTAAATGCTTTCTTTTAATCTTAGTTTTAGTATAAACAAATTAGTAATTAAAAAGTTAGATTTGGGCATTGGCCTCCCTACCTGGAGGTTAAGGTTGTGTATCTGGACAGTTGATCGATTCAAATGGTAATGTAAAGAAGTTAAACTTTAAACGCAACATTTCATAGAATATTTTAAGACTTAGACTAGGTCTAGACTCTATGTTATAAAATATTAGTCTATAAACAATAAATATTTAGGAGGGTTGGTATTATTTATTGCATACATTTTGTTAAATCCAAAGGCAAAAGTGGTGCCTTTATGTTTTTTAATTGTCTGGATACCCATACAACTCTATTCCCGCGGCCCACTACGGGCCCACTACGCATTGGCAATTTAGCAGTAACCACTAGAATCAACTTGCTGGTGTGCATCATGATCATCATCAATCGTTGACACAAGCCTAGGCCCTACCCTAGCTAGCTACCCCAAAATTTCAAGGGACTAAATCTAGACTAACCTTCATTTCAGTCTGATCAGGTTAACAAAGACAGCATATGTCGTCGACAGATTTAAATCTGAATCTACTGCAAATGAAGAAAGATGAATTTTACTAGACAAAGTTAGTAAGATTAATCACTGAATCGAACCCGGAAGCAAGGTGGCGTGGCAGCTACACATTTCTAGCAGGAAAAATGGCGAATGTGGGTGGCAGCGAATAAAGGGGAATCCCCGGCTGCGTGTGTTGTCATTGTCAATTTCAAGATATCTTCTACGTTCGCGCGGTCGTACACAGTTTACAGTGGCGGATTCAGGGAGGGGGCACAGGGGGCACGTGTCCCCCCCCCCCCCCCGGTAAAAATAAGAAAAAGGGAGAAAAGGAGAAAAAGGAGGGGGAAAGAAAAAGGAGGGGGAAAAGAAAGAAAAGGGAAGAGAGAAAGAAGAAATGAGGGAGGAGAGAAAAGGGGAGAGGAGAAAAAGGAGGGGGAAAGAAAAAAGGAGGGGAAAAGAAAGAAAAGGAAAGAGAGAAAGAAGAAATGAGGGAGGAGAGAAAAGGGGAGAGGAGAAAAGGAGGGGGAAAGGAAGAAAGGGGAAGAGAGAGGAGAGAAAAGGAGGAAAGGGGAAGACTGAGGAGAGAAAAGAGGGAAAAAAAGAATAATGAGAAGGGAAAAGAAAGAAAGGGGGATGATATTATAAAAAGGTGTTTTTTACGGAAAGGGGCGGGGGCAATTATGCAGTGTGCATAATATGGGGTCCCTCTTGCCAGGCGTGTAGCCCCCCCCCCCCCCCAAAAAAAAAAGAAGTGCAAGAAGAACAAACAAAAGAGATCTAAATAGAAAGGAAAAAATGAAAGAGAATTAAACACCGATAGAAGAGAGAGCATGAGGAATTGCATTTCTTTTAAAAGAATAACGGGATAACAACCAGGGGCATCGCTAAAGCGACGCCCCCCCCCCCCCCCATCTGTCACGATATTGTTGGTAAAATTGCTGCTATCGGGAAAATGAGAAAAGGGGGAGGGGGGAAATGAGAGGGTAAGGGGGAAGAAAGAAAATAAGACAAGGAAAAGAAAAAAAAAGAAAGGAAAGAGAAGATAAGAAAGAAAAAGAAAAAAAGAGTAAAGAAAAGGAAAAAAAGAAGAGAAAAAGGAAACAAAAGATACGGGAGATGAAATAGAGGAGAGAGAGGGGGGTAAGAGTCTGAGAGAAGAGGGTGGGAGTAAAAGAGAGAGGGTAGGAGAGGGTAGGTTGGGTAGGAGTCACCACGTTGGGGGGGGGGGGGAAGAAAGATACGCATAGATAATTATGTTGCTGTGTCGGGTCCGCGCTGTGTCAGTATTCTTGCTCGATCCTCGTGATATATATATTAATGCGGAAGTTTGAAGTCAGTGAGATATATGTCGGTCGGTCGGCAATTTTTTTCCCTACGAACTGTGACTTATTATCGGACAAAGAAACATTTTTGAAAATTCAGACAAT